CCTGTATTTATAGAAAAAAAAACTTGAATTGTCTGTTTATCATATAGATTTCTCTTCTTTTTTTTGACATTACAATTTGAAAGAATTCTCATTAAATTATGTGTATTGTCTGAATTTAGAAGAAAGTAGTCCGGCAAGACAGCAGTGAAAATACGGAAAATATATTTCACTACAGTGAAAAATAGCTTTTTATAGTGAAAATACTAAAATTGAAAATACGCATTTTATTTCATCAGTATTTCTCAATATTTCACTTATAAGTATATGATAAAACAATTTCTTTTTGGCTTGATTTTTAGTTTCTCTATTTTTTTCATGGGTCAGCCTATAACCTCTATATGTAAACGGATAAAAGAATACCTCTATTTATTTATTTTTATTCATTTTTGTATTTATTTATTTATCTAATTGTTGGTGTTGTTGTTGTTTATGTTTTTGTTGTTGTTTTCTAGTGGGGGAGTTAGCAGTTGACAGTATGCAATTGACAGTAAGCAGTTGACAGTAAGCAGTAGGCAGTTAACAGTAGGCAGTAGTTAGTCAGAAGTAGACAGTAAGCAGTCAACAGATGGCTGTCGTTTATGGAATTCCATGTTATAGTCCATGCATTTGTTAATTTATCAGTGAATTCCTTTAAATGTTGTTCTAAGAATATATATGTACCTGTAAACTATTAAAGTAAATTAGGAGGCAGAAAAATACCAAGGGTCCAACCGGGTTTTGAACCACAGACCTCTTGGTCCGTAGACGGACACCTCAACCACGTCGTTAAAGGGTTAATCTAACAGCAAGGCTGATGGAAGTGGCCTATATACCTACAACCACTACACTCCTCCTCTCTTTACTTTTCAGAGCTAGCCAGCTCTCCTGAATGTCACTCACTGCTTACCGCATGAGTTCGTCAAACACTTCTGACACCATTTAAGTAAATTAGGAGGCAGAAAAATACCAAGGGTCCAACCGGGTTTTGAACCACAGACCTCTTGGTCCGTAGACGGACACCTCAACCACGTCGTTAAAGGGTTAATCTAACAGCAAGGCTGATGGAAGTGGCCTATATACCTACAACCACTACACTCCTCCCCTCTTTACTTTTCAGAGCTAGCCAGCTCTCCTGAATGTCACTCCCTGCTTACCGCATGAGTCCGTCAAACACTTCTGACACCATTTAAGTAAATTAGGAGGCAGAAAAATACCAAGGGTCCAACCGGGTTTTGAACAATAGACCTCTTGGTCCGTAGGCGGACACCTCAACCACATCGCTAAAGGGTTTACCCAACAGCAAGGCTGTTGGAAGTGGCCTATATACCACTGCACTATATTGTGTTTGACCTCCAGAACGGCAACTATTTCGGCAACTGAATAATTTTTTGGCCAATATAGTTTTAATAGGTCGTCCATTTTTATTTTAATGCTATAAGCAGTGAATAATAAGTAGTAAGCCGTAAGCAGTGGACAGTAAGCAGTTGACAGTAAGCAGTAGGCGGTCAACATTTGGCAATTCCATAGTTTATTGATTCATTAATGTTCCCAAAGAAATATTGAGATAAATATAAAAAGTTATGAAAGTATAACAATTCTGTCATAAACCTAAATCAATACACCGCATAGTTACGAATATCGATCAACAGATCAATTGGGTATTATTTAATACTTACATGTAGTAAAGCCTATCTAGTCAGATTATGAACAGGTATAATATAAAATATATATTAAGATATAGTTCCCCCTTAGCATTAACAAGCGGTTTGCTCAGTTATGTCAAATAATATATTAACAAATATACATGTATATCCAAATGTTTTTGTTGATGCATTTTGTGAGAAAGACATCCTCAAAGAGAAAGTTTGATCTCACACCTGGTCCGTGGTTGAGAACCAAATCCATCCCTTTTATCAAAAACAGTTTCTATGGCCATATAAGGTTTTTGCCATAGACCGCGAAATACAACTTTTGTTTGGTTACTAGGATATGTTTTCATGTGTAAATGGTATAAACTTTAAATGTTTTAACACTTACTTTTTGTTTCAGTTCCATCTGTTACTTTCCTACCAAGTGCGACATTTAGCGTCAAGGGGTTGCGACATTTAGCGGCAATCGATTTTTGTGCGACATATAGCGGCAACGTTGCGACATTAAGCGGTAGGCGATTGCGACATATAGCGTTGATTGCGACATATAGCGTCAGCGTTGCGACATTTAGCGTTAGTTGCGACATATAGCGGCGTTGCGACATATAGCGTTGCTACAGACATCTTTATATTTTTGATATTAATATTACTTATAAATGAGTTCCTTATGATAATTTTGTATCATAAACAAACTAAATTTTCATCCAGTTGTTAACATTGTGTGAAAAAGGTCAAATACAAACGTAAAACCGTTCTTGTTTTTATAATTTATTTAAACTATATATTTGACACGGCAATCATTTTAACAAGAGATGTAACTTAAAGGGATGCAACTGAGATTATTTGACACGACGGGATTAGAATTTTTTTTTCGAGACTTATGAACCATTTGATAAAGTCTATTTTAACAAAATATGTTCACAGTGTCAAATCATTCCCTTAGTCCGTTTCCCCAGAATCATCATTTTATACGCATTTTATTTTATCAATAATTCATTTATAAGTAAATAATAAATTTCTTTATAATATATAATGGGATTTAATTTCCATTTTAAGTGCACCACTTTATCTATAATTCATGTATGAGTATATTTTTATGAATTTACTGCAAATAGAAGTTTTCTGCTCTCTACAAAGGCTCTAATACAACCAACCAGCTAGCCTGGGTTCCAGTCTGGCGATTTTTTATGTGCTTCTGTTCGGCAAATCACGGTCGAGTATGAAATAGCGCGTATGTTATGAATAAGCAAAAATATCAACTGAATCCCAGGCTACCAGCCAGCGTGATATTGAGCAAGGAGAAGCCAATAAGTTCTTCATATTCCGCCCATGTTAACAGTATTAACACACCAATTCAAGCGGTTACGATGCCAGTCAACTAAATCATAAAATATAATGTACATGAAATGTCAATTTTCCAAAATGAAAAGAAAAGAAAGGAAGAAAAAATAGGTTCTCCAAAAGTGTTACGCAGGTTTTTTTGTACTTATATAAACGTAAAACATACATAAATGGAAACAAATGTAGGTAAAAGGATGTTATAGGTTGAAAAAAAGATGTTTTCACACTCTGCAGAATCTGTCACTCATCCAGATATTCAATCTTATATCAGTCTGTTACTATTTGTAACAGCATGCCTGCATTTTCTAACAACTTTTCACGAATAAGAGACACCTGTTAAAATCAGGAAAAATATACCGGCTAGGGATAAATATGTGAAAATTGTTTAAACCATAAGTATAACATTAAACAGCAAACTTCATTGCTAAATTGAAAATAATTGGAAAATAAGTTGAAGGTAATTGAACCATTCATATAAGTTTTTCCTTAATGTATAACAAATATTAGTGTTTGATTTTTTTGACCAATAGAATTGCAGTATCTTAAATGAACAAATTTTTACTTTGGCAAATCGATTAAATTTTAATTAGTCTTGTATATCGACTGTTTTATAGAAAATTATATCAAACTCTAAACATTTTTGACTTTCACAGGTAGTTGGTTCAATTCTCTAATTGAATAATGAAGACGGATCTAGAAATGAATTGAGTGTTACAATGTATATTTCTGCACAGATATATAAACATATATATTTAGCTCCATGGTTTCTGGAATTGGGACCATTTCTTAGATTATTTTAAGGAGTGACATCATCAACAGATTTGACAATTTAGTAAAGTTAAAGGGAATATTTTGGATGAATTTGACATTTTTACGGAAGATGAACGTATTCCTGGCTTTTGTATCCTTCACAGAGTAATGCACTATATCCTTTAGCAATTGCAACTATTCGGCCCTTTCCGTCAGTCTTCGGATAGACGATAGCCGAGGTTGTTCCGATTGTACCCTTTAGGTTATCCTGGACGTCCGATCGTTTCCGGTTGTAAATCAAGAACTGAAAATATTTCTATGTATTTAAATTCCATTTTAAAGACAATAAAGCCAATAACACATAATTTATCTTTCGTTATCAGGGACACTTCGGATTTTATTGCTAAAGTTTAGATGAAGATGTACATGTAAAGAGCATATTATCATATTGTACCAAAACGCCTCTGTTGATTGTATATCAAAATACTTTGAAAAATAAAAGGCTGACGATTCGTTTCCCGGTCTTCTATTTTTAGAAACGTTATAAATAGCTTGCAGGACGCTGTGTTGAGAAAGACTTAAAAGTGATATGATACACCTTTTTTAAGACAAATTAAAATTACTCAAATAGCTCGTTTGATACAACAATGAATGTTTTTCCAACAAAAAATAAATGCTGAAGGCCGCTTTAATACGAGTATGCTTTCTAAACTTACGGAGTAACATATATTTACGGGATTCCCTGACGGCCCATCATCGGAACAAAATGACGAATTATGACAACTGTAGCGTTCCATAGAAATGTAATAAAGAGGGAAAGAAAAAAGATGAATCATACTTGAGATTTTCATTTTGTTTTATTTTAAACACTTGTAACGTTTGAAAAGAATGCATCAGTAAAATGAAAAAAAAATCAAGAAAAAAAAAACAAAAAAAAAAAAAAAAAACCCATTTAATTTGAAATTTTCAAGCCAATTAAAATGATACAGAAAATAAACATGTGTTGCAATATGTCTAAATTAAGACATAATTTTGAATTTATTTTTCGAAATTACTGTGATTATGGCTTGTACTATATGGTTCAAGCTGTATGTCCAGTGCATTTAAAATACCTCATATACGTACATTGTATAAAAAACTCACACATATATGACGTATTTAATATATAATTGACTGTCGCCGAAAATAGGTTTCCAGTTAGTAAAAAGAAAATTAATGTTAAAAACGTAAAACGAAAAAACAATGCATCCTCAAACACAAAACTAACACAATAAGCCGACGTCAAAGAAAAATTTAAATGTTTATTATATGTTCATTAACATGTTTAATAAACCATTCAACTCCGTCTAATAATACAAATCATACTAAATGCTAAACACATAGAACAAATCTCAACCTTTTGAATTTCTACCTATTGAACTCCAGTGTACTATCTATGGTCATGTCCGGGTTTTAATTTTGGATCAGTCAATTCGTACATTTTTTTGGACTTTTGGTATCAAAACATTAGAATTCGGACCAGACTGTTTGAATGTACCTACAAACTAACTTTAGCGTTATACTCGTGGCATACGTTCGTTTCTATTGTTTTAATTCGCTCTGCAAAATATCTTACATAACATTTACTCTTGTTCCACTATTTTTCAATCTTGTCATCCCAAAACAAATTCCATTCTTTACAACAATGCACAATAAAAACAGTCAAAACAATTCTTTACAATCAACACGTGGTTGAAGGTCAAACCCAAGGTCACCGGAAGTACGTGCAATTTCTTCGCTGGTTCCCGTCTTCTAGAAGAAAATCTCCTGTTCTTTTGATTTTTTCCATAATACAAGAGATAGGACTATACCTATCAGCTGAAATTGTAAAATAAAATATTCTTTACTTTTTTTACAATACGAGTAAATTTCAAATTTTAGCCTGTTTGCGGCAATTGAATCTACCAGATTCAGCCGGCATATTTACAAGAAATGACGTATCAACTTATAAGGTTCATCCGAATTCATGACAGGCTAGAATGCTAGAATGTGTGGTCCATTCTTCAACATTACTGCATGAGCATTTTGTGAAATATGGCTGTTTTCATTGAAAGGTCTCCCGTTACAAGTTCAAATTTCTATAAAACTGTAAAAACTGCTTCAGTACTAATCAAACTTGGCACAAATGTTGACTGGACATATCAAAATTGCCAAAAATCACTATTTCGCGTTGATTTTTTCCATCAAAATGATTTCAAAGTGCTGCAACTTCTCAATAGATTGAGATAGAGTCAAAGACTTTTCAGCATTGGTTACACGTTACCTTATGATCGACTCAGGGTTATTTTTAGCCTTTCACAGGTCCAAAATTTTCTTGGGGATTAGAAGGGGGGGGGGGGGCTGCCGACCCCTTCAAACCCCCATACAGAAGGGGGCACATCCCCCTTCTGGCAACCCTGATGTTTATTTGTTTATTTTGGATAGGGGGCGGGGCCGAAAAAGTCACTTTTTAAACAACATTTCTTAAACAAAAACAAGTGTTGGGGCCTAAATAAGGCATTTTTTCACCATTTAAACAACAAAAAAGAGGAAGGAGGGTGAAAAAGGCGTTAAAATAAGAACTGAAATTAAATATGTTATGTGCAATAGGACTCATACCTGTACCATGGCGACGGACAAACAAACAGCCCCTACTATCAGTAAATTAGTCTTCAGAATGGACTCTAGTTCCGTCACACATCCCTAGAAAAGAAAATTTATCACATTTTGTAATTTCGCTAGACGTGTCTTAATCAGTTATACCGAGCATAACGGTAAGTTTTGGTCTAGATTTTGTAATGAAAACGTAGACTCTTCAAGAAACTTCACTGAGGTCCAAAAGCATAACTACATATAATCTGAAAGTCTTGCAGAGATCAAATTGGCACTTTAAGGGGAGGAAAAGAAATGCAATGGATAACAAGAAACATCTAGAATCAAATTAAAAACTGACTTTTATGATATTTTAAACCTGATTAAAAACGTTAACAGACTGCTGATTTTGGGGACATATTGTACAATAAAATGTTGTTTTTTTCCTGGAGGATTGATCTAAAAATTTTGCACATTATATATTGATCCAAACCTAAATAAAAAGATCCCAAAACACAAATCCCAAAAACAGTATTTCAGTCCCATTAAGTCAAAAAACTGCACTACTGTCCCCTAAATGTTGTAAATGTCCTGTAGCTGTGTGGGATAATTTGGTAAGTCTATGCAGGACTACAGGACTACTATTTGACCGCAAAATGATAAAACAACAAGCTTAAATATTCGTGTTTAGGATGGTAGTAAGTTTCAAAAACGAAAAGTGAATTTTACCTCCGAGTGGATTTTCGTGTCGTCAAAGTCATTATTGCAGCCGGATACAAGCATATCCTTGCAGCATGATATAGGCATTTTGCTGGTTCCACGCTCGGTGGCCTTGTCAGCGTCTTTGAAGTATGCTGATACAGCCCAATCTCCCGGTTCTGTGTAACCACAACACTTGATCTATAATACATACATATTCAAAAACAAACCAAATGGTATTAATTCAGCTAACTTCGACGTTTTCCACGTTTTCCATAACTTTTCACATCTATGCAGAAAGCGGTGTGTAGGAGCACATTTATCTCGGAGCACATTTGTCTCAGAGGTGTGACAGATTTGCTGGTAAAAATTCATATTTAAGATAGTCTTCATGTCAAAAAAACAAACCGAGCAGAGTTCCTTTTAAGATAGTGAAAGGCTTTTATAGGTCAACGGAAAAATGAACTTGCGTTTTGTAATTATAGTCTAGCTATAACTATTTTTGTTTGGGTTAAAAAATGGATAACTTATACCTTTTGTTGTAGTATGTTAATCCCTGTAGTAACGGCGTTATATTCCTTGTAGCCATATTTGTTGAGTAGAGCATCCTTTACCCTGTCATCTAGTACTGAACGAATCTGTAGTATATTAACATAATAATAAAACTAGTTATTTATTTACATCTTCTACAGACAGATGAGTTTGACCCTTCGTGAATACCATGAGAATACCATGTTTTTGTCGTTATTTGTGTGTTTTTTTTTTGTAATGGAGGTGACCTTCTTTGAATCTGAAATAGTCCATCACTTGTTTCAGGATCAGTCCAGTAGAGTTTCATAAAAATTCACCAAATAATTAAGGAGTATATCTCGTTTAAAGGCTTCTTTCTATCTCCAAACTTGTGGCAGGCCATCATTAGCACTTGAACCAAGTTTTATCACTTTTTTAGAAAAGTGCAACGTGACCACATGGGCCATTTATAGCTACCTTAAGACGTTTTTCATAACGTATCTTTTTGCGTGCTTAAAACTAATTATGATCAAGTTAACACCTGCCATTTGCTACTAAAGACCGAAAACCATTATGGATAATTTTGTAAATGCCATCTTATATGAAAATCCGTGTAGAGCTCTATCAAAAACTACCAAGATCAAAGTGAGAAACGATCAATTAAAGTTTCTCCCTTCCTTATTTTTTTACTCTGGTTGGCCATTTTATTCAAAATATTCTTTAACTATAATTATGATGACAATTTTTTGTAAATGGTTCCGTTCCCAAAGGAACATTCCTGTATAGTTTCTTCAAAATCTACCTAACATCTAAGGAGGAAATGTCGTTCAAAGGTTTTTCTATTTTCAGCTCTGGTGGCCATCTTGTTCAGTAGACTGGAACCATTTAAGCACGTGTTGGAGGTGACCACCCAAGGATCAATCCTGTATAGTTTTATCACTATTGGTGCAGGGGTTAAGGAGTAGATAGCGTTTTAAGTAAAAATGTTAACGACGGGCGACAGACGCCGGACGCCGGACACAATAGCTCACCTAGAGCACGTTTAATAAACAGAATAAAATGTATCTTTATACCTCAATATGCTTTAAAACTAATTATGGATCATTGTTATATCATTTGGGAGAAATTCTACTAAAGTCATCGGGTATAAAACATATACTTGTAGGTGTACTACATATTACATACCTTATCATAAAAAATAAAACCAAGGATTCCAGCGGCAGCCTCTACTAGGAACACTAGCACAAGGCAGATCATATACTATGAAAAAGAAAAAAAACACAAAACAAACAAATCATAGTTATCTCCCTTAAAAAGCCTTACAAGAAATGTTTAACTTTAATACTTTACTGTGTTATGGTTTATTCTGGTTAATTGTCAAAATATTTGCTCTTTAACTGTCGGTATAACTTATGAATGAATTAATCATATAGCTTTACTAAATTAAATACAGAACTAGCATGCGCGAAATATTACTTCCGCTCCTATGGAAATATCGCAATATAGATAGGTCTATTTCCCAAAACATCACGCTAATGATTATGTGTATTAAATCGATCTTGTTAGTTAAAGAAAAACAGGTCAATTTTTCAATATTATTACCTGTTTATCATTTAAGAATTTTGTTTATAAAATTTTTATGGACAAGATGGTTCAATGACAGCTATATCTTTGTTCATAGTAATTTCTAAAGTAAATTTTGAGCTTCATTCCGTGTATTAACTCGTTTCATTAAATAGTAAATCTTGCGCATGTGCAGCTCATTCTTCTTTGAGAACAGATAAAACGATATGTAAATTATTTTTCAACTTTTTGTTACATATCAGTGGACAATATTTTCGATTTAGTTTATTGCACATAATTATGGTGAAAAAATTAATATTGATACATGTGTGAAATCGTTCTTTTTTTATAATTCATATAGAGAGCTTTAAATAACAAAGATATAAGTTAACAAAATAATGTAACATTTTCTATGTCATAGATAAACATGCATTTTTTAAACACCAGTTAACACGTGGTTTTCAAATTAATTTACTTTAGAATCTTGTATACTTTTCATCAATATTATAACTGAAAGAGGCAGTTAAATGATACAGATACTAAATGTTACAGAAATTGCCGATTATGTACATGTATATTTTAATGATTTTACCACAAGTAGAAGTTTTCTGCTTTCTTCAATGGCTCCAACACAACCAGCCATCGCGATGAAAACGACAATACCCCCACCAGCTATGGCCACGTATGCCGCCATATTGATTAAGGAGGAACCAATGAGTTCTTCATATTGCGCCCTTACAAACAGTACAGACACACCAATTCCAGCAGTTCCAAGGCCAGCCAACTACATGAAAATTATAAAATGTACATAAAATGTCAATTAACTATACATGTAACAGTACATAAACAAATACCGATCACTTGTACACTAAAGAGCCGTCAGATTGTTAGATATTAACGTCTTGAGGAATCCCACGTTAGTACAAAGGCTTGACCCTCAAAACCTCGAACCAAGAAGAGGAACAAGTTTTTATAAGGACGGACGGACACTGGACCGATTGTTCTAATGGTTCATGATTAAATGATTACTGTAAACAAGAAAAAGTTGAATCAATGATTAAAAAAATTATTAAATGTTTAAAGGTTTTAAAAGGGGTTAAAATTTTGATATACAAACTTAAGAGCAATAAGAAAGTTTTATTCACTTAGAACGACAAATCAACATAGAACTACTGTATAAAAGGAATCATCTAATGCATATAGGTACTAGGAGTAGAGGGTTTAAAAACTGAAAATAGAAATCCACCAAAATGCGACCAGTGTTCCTTATGACCCCTTTGTACACCTGATTTTTAAGAATTTTTCGATACTGCGTCAATACAGTATACTGCAGTGTTTTGTCACTATTGATCTAAAATTGTTGAAAAATTCTAAAATTCATGAAAAATCCACAAAAAAAAAAAAGAAAAAAGGGAAAAAAGAGATCTAGATATAAAACAACAACAAACAACAACATCTACTGTATCACATGTTTGAAATACTAGATGTACACTGCACAATACATCATAAAATCGTGTTTGATATTAAATCTACGGAATGCCGTTAGGGCTATTGCCTATGAATGTGTTGATCTGAAACGCGATAGTCGATAGTACGATGGTGAAAACGCGAAATCACGATGGTGAAAATGCGAAAGCACGATGATGAAAACGCGAAAGTACGATGATGAAAACGCGACAGTACGATACTACGATGATGAAAGCGCGATAAACTATCGTGTTTTCACCATCGTACTGCCGCGTTTTCACCATCGTAGTTTCGTGATTTCGCGTTTTCATCATCGAACTGTCGTGTTTTCATCATCGTACTATCGCGTTTTCACCATCGTACTGTCGTGATTTCATCATCGTACTATCGCGTTTTCATCATCGTGCTTTCGCATTTTCACCATCGTGATTTCGCGTTTTCACCATCGTTCTATCGACTATCGCGTTTCAGATTTATAACACATTCATAGGCGATGGCCCTAACGGCATTCCGGAATGCCGTTAGGGCCATCGCCTATGAATGGTTTGATCTGAAACGCGATACTCAACAGTACGATGATGATAACGCGAAATCACGAAACTACGATGGTGAAAACGCAACAGTACGATGGTGAAAACACGATAGTTTATCGCGATTTCATCATCGTAGTATCGTACTGTCGCGATTTCATCATCGTACTATCGCGTTTTCATCATCGTACTTTCGCGTTTTCACCATCGTAGTTTCGTGATTTCGCGTTTTCACCATTGTACTATCGACTATCGCGTTTTAGATCAACACATTCATAGGCGATGGCCCTAACGGCATTCCGTATAAATCTGAGTGTACAGTATCTATGCCAAATATCAATGACGTAATTCTCAGTAATGACGTCATCAAATTGAATAAAAACGTCCCAGTACCACTGTACTGTAACTAGTCTACTGTACTAAAACACGAGACGCTTGCAATATTCATCTTTGTTGTAGAAGTTTGTTCTAATTTAATGTTCAAAAATAATCTTTGTGTCGCTAAATCTAGAATATCTTATAAATGGCATATAATCTATTTATGGTCGTTCTCAGTGGAATCAGATCTAGATTTATTTGAAGAATTTATTGAGAACATTCTAGATCTAGTGACGTCAATCTCAATGTTAGATTTTTATCATACCGTACTGTACCGAAAGGTTTAAAAAAACGTTATTATATCTAGAATAGATAAGAATTCAAATTGAATACAAACTTACAACAAAAAACAAATTAAAGATGATAAGAAGAGTCTTTGTTACAGCCTCTGAACACATCACTGCAAGAAAATACTCGTTTTGTTTCAATAACCTTCAGTAGCTTTTCTTTGCAGGCGAATGTTTGCAAATGGGGTATAAGCCTTCAAGGGATGTAACTCTTATCAATTTTATATGAGCCCATTTAGAAAATCTTGGTTTTTGAATATTTTAGAAAAAAAAATATCAAAAGCATATAGACTCTATAATGAGATAGCCTCTAATTAATAAATAAAGTAACTATGTAAAAAATTCGTAAAGCGAAATCATTTTAATGGTCTAAGACATAGGCCAGTACAGTAGCGTTGTACTTTATATATAGCCAGTTATTCTGTACATCTAAATGTTTATTTAAAGATCTGTAAGTGTCCGTCATTATAAAAAGAATTCATTTCTCCCTCCAAGTGTATCGTACCGTAATTTTTTTCGATTTATGCATAAAAAAATCAATAAACTATATGTATTAAGTAAGGGAAATAACTCGAGTTTCACAGACATACACATATCTATACAGTCATTATCTCTCTTTAGTTTTGATGAAACATTGAAATAAACATTTATTTTGCTGCATTTGTGTTTTGTCTTCAATACGAGAACTAAGAAATAGAATAAGGGCTGAGCCATGGTTTATATTATCAGTTATATAGATGTTTTACAATCAATTTATAATACAGCAGAATCATTTTATTTGAGAAAAAGCCAAAATTACTTCATTAATTGACAACAGCCGCGTATATAGATTATATAAACGGCGCCATTATCCAATGAAAATCGTTGTTACAAACCTCCATTATTGTTACATGCAAAAATAAATAAAAAAAAAGTTACATTGTCGAGCGAGTGTAATGGAAAAGAAGGAAATTAAGTTTGAATGAGTTTATTTATAAAATGTAATACCCACCCATACTTAACTAGCAACACTTGAATGAAATTTGCCTACTTGAAGATTTTTATCTCATGTCTGAAGCAGACAAATTATTCAGATAAAAAATTTAAAAAATGATATTAACCGTTTTATATTACGTGAAAATATTACAAAATCCAATGTAATGATTGAATGAAGACATGGCTCACGGGTGGACCTTTTTTGTTGGGGTTTACCGTTTACGTCGCACCAACGAGACTTTATCGAGACTTTACCTCTTTACTGGTGGAAGAAGACCTCAGGTAGATCTACCCTTCCGTGCTTTATTTCAAGCAAAAACGGGCACCGGAGTAGAACCACCGACATTATGTAAGCTAGCTGGATATCTGTCTCACATGTAAGAATTTTATGTCAAATAATTAAAATTCTTTGAACACTACTTAAAACAACTTTTCAACATTTTGAATGATAAGACATCTTGGCATGCCAACAGGGAATTTTTGGTGTCTTTATTTCACTTGTTTTATTAGTCTAGCTCTTTAAGATTATTGATCACCTGTAGTGTAAAGTAATGAAAACTTCTTTAAACAGAGCTAGTTGGCGTTATATGAATAGATGTTCCATCTTTTCATTGTTTTCTGTGAAAAAAACCCACTTAAAAATGACGAGTTCTCAAATTTCATTCATACTTTTTGTTCGAACCATATATCCGCGTCATTTATGACGAAAGTTTGCTCGCAAATAAAGTCAATTTTTCTTGTGTAACTCTTAGCTTACTCGTAGCTACAGATTTTACCCAAATACCAGTGCAGACCAAGATGAGCTAGCTCGTTTGCACTGTTTGCTACTCACACAGTACATTTTTTGAAATTTACACTGAAATAATGAATAGCTTTGTCCAAGATATATAGATGGACAAGTCCATTTAAGATATTTAGCATTGGGTTTTAATGTCGTATTTTATATCGATGCTATAAATTATACATACAATGCATTAAAAGTGTGCATTGACTTGTCTTATAATTATATTTACATCCATGAATCATAAATAAATTCTTTTTTCATCATAACATATTTGATTCTTTATTTGTTTTGTTGCACATTAAGTCACGCCGACATCGTTAATGTCGTTTGGTGGGTTTCCAGCTTTTCTAGTGGAGGCATCGTCGGATATACACGCTTGATTAACATCTTATCTGATAAATGTGAATGGTTCGGCCGTGGGTATCAGACGATGTAGTGGAGGAAGACCTCAGGTGCTCATTCGTACGTACATGATTTCAGGCACAAGCGGGGTAGAGCACCAACGACCTTCCGGAAGTCAGCTGCATGGATAGGTTTCTCAGAATCCAAAGTCCGAGATGAGATTCGACCCTACAGCAACAAAGGGGCAAGTGATTTTAAGTCGGCGACCTTAACCCATCGATTAAAAGATATATATATAAAGATTCAATATACTTTTTTTATACTTTGTATTTTGAGATACAGATATCTTACTGTATGCAAAAAATAAGTTAAAACTATCCCTTTTTATCAAAGGGTTAAACTATTCATGAAAAAATTTTAAGGGGAAAGTATTTACATTTTTAAACTATGTCTTTTCCATAATCTAATGATCGATTCTCGAAAGAATTGTAACAAATTAAAGCATGTAAATGAAAATAGTATAAAATGTTCCGGAACAAAATACTATACTGCCTTTTTAAGGAATGTTTTACCGTTTAGCAATAATTCCGCTTATGCGCCATTCGCTCTTAAGAAAATATACAAACACTTCTTATTTCGTATAACTTAAGTATTCGTTATCTATTTTCCTGAAAAGTCTACCAATTTATTAATTTCTATTTTCTTGTAATGAATTTGTAAAGATGGATTTTCTATAGCAGAGCTTATTTTATGCAGTAGAAGAGAAAATATCAAGACGATTTATTAGGCTAGTTAAACTATTAAACTGTTGACGAGAACAAATATATTCTTGCATGTTTTTGAAGAAAGTGTTTGTGCATCATTTAAAACCAATTACTCACCAATTACTCACGTCAAATTTATGAATATCTCGTGCATCTGTTTGACTTAGATAGTTTTAAAAAATAGTTCTTTCAATTAACCCAAAAGCGAGTTACCTAGAAGCGTGTTTCATTTTATTTATATCAGGGGTTAAGAGTGTTTTTTGGAAATTTGGCTTTATTTTTTTCCAAATTTTAACATTTTACATCTTTTAACAAAAACTTTTAAAATTATTATAAATTTAAATTTACTTAAAATAAAAGAACCCTTAAACAAATACAAAGGTAAATTTTGGGTTGGTTATGGAACCGGGTGCAAAAAAAAATTTAAATAATTATTTACCAAGTCTGACTACTCATTATAATGCGGGGCATAGTTCTTAAATAACAAAATAAAATTGAAGACTATTAAATTCAACCCCCCGTAACAATTAAAGTCGAAATTAACCAAACAGTCTCCCATAGAAAATGTTTTTTGTTTTTTCTTTCAGAAAAATATACCCAAAAATGTTTAGTTGCGTTTTTTTAAAGGATGTAAAGCTATGTATTAAGAATATTTTAAAAAGTTTATAAACAGTAAAATTATGTTGTTTCTGTGGTTTTATCGGTATTACAGGTATAATACAATATGTACTATTTTGCCACAATCAGATCACAGTTTTCTTTCATTAAAAAATATTTCTTCGATGCACCTATCGCATTGATAACCTTTCCCATCTTAAAATATATAACAAATGAAATTTAAAGAAAAACCTTCAGATAAATATACAGACAATAAGGCGCAGATTTGAAACTGTGTATTAATAGAATTTGTTAAACTTTTGAATCAGTTGTGGTTAATATGACAACTGTTAACAAACACTGCACTTTTACATCGTTTGGAACCAAAATGAATTTCGAAAATAGAAATAATGTTAGGCATGCTGCACATCCGTGCATCCGTACAGACCTGGCACTAAAAACGTAACTTTCTATCCCAGGTGCTGACTGAACCGGATCTGTACTTAAGACTACCAAACTTGAGAAATTTTTATCTTGATATTCACATATTGATAGATAGTTATAAAAAATGGCAGCTTTTAAAGTAGTCTTAACAGTGTCAGAATTATCGGCTGCTCAAGTTCAATAATCTTTTTCTTGCAGCCTATCATATTACCTTTTCTGTTACAAGTTGGATAAGTCAAATATAGAAATTAAATGCTTACTTTGTGACAAAAATGCCCCAAGGATAATATTTGCAAACAAAGTGTGAAATTACCTCCCTTATATAATGCATATAAAACGTTCATTTGCAAAAAAAAAGAGAATAATTCTATCACACACACTGAATGAAAAGTAGAAAAAAATTTAAACTCAAAATCTTCCAATAAATTATATATGATCTCCTTGAAATTTCATAGCGGACTTAAAAAGACGTAAACTGATACCCACCTGGTTTGCATTACTATTGTTGTATATAAACCAAATTAAAATTGCACTGAAAATTAGCCTCCTTATCAATAGATTTAGGAAAAGGCATATATTTCAGTCTGCCCTTTTTTCAAAAAGGGCGGACAACTCTTTGTCCCTTTCTCAAAGAGAAGGGGAATCCTGTGATGCGTGTATGTGGTCGCACGGTCACTTTCCTGTGAAATGTCCTCGATGCATGTATGTGGTCGCATGATCGAATATCACTAATATGACGATGGTTTCAAAAGTATTTCCATTTACAACATTTTAATGTTCTTAAACAATGGTTAAACTACGGAAGCGTCCTGGTGCCAATTCATAAATAATGTTCTATGAAAAAATAAACTCCTACGTAGGAGATAAAATGGCCTAATTAGGAGTTTATAACTCCTAC